ATTGCTGGGATTTCTTGGTTTCTACTTTTGTGAACCAATTTTGATAAGCGATATCAGAAGTAGGGCAAGATCGAAATGGCTTAAAATTTCTTTTTACATAATCCAAAACAAAGGGGTCCTTGGGAGGAACGGTTGGGGTTTCTACGGCATTTGAACTAGGAGACTCTACTGCCCTAGGGACATCCATTTTGTTGAATAAGGGTTTGAAGCTATAACAGACGGGAAAAATTGTCCTGGTGTCCTTTAATATTTCAAAAACTGTAAGAGGGCCATTTAAGGCTAACCTCTTACCAGCAACGTGGGTAGGAATGAGTACCTGTGATGCGTACAGCATTTCTTTTTCTTTGGAAATCATTTGAGGAGCAAGAGCAGATTGGCCTTGAATGGTGATGATTTTACTCTCCATGGTAGCTCCTGTAGTTTTTCCTTTCTTCTTGGAGACTTTCTTGAGTTGGGATGAAGTAGAAGAAGACATTTTGGAAGATGTTTGAAAGCTTAGATTGTTTTGTGAGAGAAGGAGGGTAAAAATTCAGAGTATGAAAGGTTTAGAGTGTGAAAAGAAAAGAAGAAGATTAAGTTGACGTTTTATAATGGGGAAGTTTAAGCATCCACCGAATAGAAGTGTGATACGTGGAGATCATGGGTTGGTATGATGAAGAGGTGGCGTGAAAATTAGCATAGGTAATAGGCGTGATTAAAAAAGATAATCATTACTTATAACTGCACCACGCTGTGAAGTGACTCCGGGCGGTTAAGGAATCCAAAAGGTGTTATGATTGATGTGACTGGAGTCAAAGGCATTAAATGTTACGATGATTCGAAAGTCCTATCAAAATCTTGTGTAAATGTTTAAAATAGGTATTTCTCAAAGAAATCGAAATACATATTTTAAAAGGGGCAATTTGTTGGCTGAAGATTTTGATAATGTTATTTAGAAGCCAAAAGAGTTAAATGTTCTGATCGAAATAGAATTAAACGCCAAATTTCGAAGTTGCAGAAGCAGTGTTTCGAATAAGTGTGTCAAAGCTTGAAGCTTCGAACGACAATTATGGGAACATATCCAAAGGAGTCTCGAAACAACAGCGAGGCTATGTTTGGGAAAAGCGTTCGAAACGGAGAAACACCAAAACATGTTAAATTCAAATGGAAGCGGGACTTTCAAAGTTTGAAAGTTATGTGTTGGAGCATTTGGGGACACGTGGAAAGATGAAAGAAGCATTGTCCTGCATGTTCGGAACGTGGCATAATCCTATAGCCAGACCGTTAGGGTCGAATTAGTATAAATAGGAGTCTTAATATTAGGATTTCTGTGTGTCATATCTATTGTACAAAATACTCAATAACATTCAAACTACCGCATGGCAAGGGAAACGAATGCAAGAGAAATGTATGTATGATAGCACCATGTATTTCTAATTTAGTGAAAACCTTTTTTACCATTTCCAGTACTTCCTTTATTCCTTTTGTCAAACAACATTTACAAGTTTTCTTATTCACAGCCTTTTTACTTCGAAATCTCTTCCTCAAAATCTTACACTTTAATGTTATCTTTATGTTTCGAGTGTTTTATATTTCGGAAAACCATCACATTTTCCATACCTTTACGTTCAAGTCTTGTTCTTCGAACGCATACTTTTACTTAAAATCATTTATAGATTTCTTGCATTAAACGTTTCTCCTTCTTTTAAAACTTTTATGTTCCAGAAACCCTTTATGTTAACCGTTTTTGTAAGTCGAAATCATTTACTTCATTTTCATGCAGTTTTATATGTCTTTACAATTCAGCATTACAATTAGCATCTATTCGTGTAACTTAGTTTTTATACACATTTTGACTACATTTTTAGAGAGAGATCGAAATAAGCCAAACACTTATACAATATTGACCATGAATATCTGTTCGATTGTAAGAGTAACTTTAATATCCAAGGAGTCCTAGGATCAATCTAGTCGATCCTGTGAGTTACCAGAGGGATTGAATAACAGTAAGAAAGATTATTCGATAGTTTGGAAGACTAGCGGTTGTTTACCAGAAATCACTGGAAACACCATCGCAGATCAAGTGAAAGGGCGACGAACTCGACCCAAGCCCTCGACTACACGCTAAAGCGGACTATTACATTGGGAGGTCATGTTATCGGGGGGATGATCACTCATCGAGCGAGAAGCTCGAGATAATCCCTATATCTGGGGAAACCATCCCCTCTGTTACAGACATTGTTCGGGGAGGCCGCCCCGACACTATAGCTAATGAACGTTCATAGTGTCTGTCACATTCATAAGTGTTCGACGCAGAATCCATGAACTCCAATGAACATTCATGAGTATTCATCATAAAACTCATAAATGTTCATCCAATCAAGGCATAATTTAGACATTTAATCTAGAAACGCTTAAGGAACGTGGTGTTAAGAGGTTGTAACTTACATGGATGAAGAACTTAAAGAGAATCTGAGAAGTTGAGAGGATTGCTTCGCATAACGAGCAAGGAAATCTGGGAAGTTGAGAGGATCGCTTCACACCACGAACAAGAAAAGTTGAAAGGAAACTTGAGAAGATGACAAATGAGACCCAGGGGCCCCCTTTTATAGGTGACCCACGCCCCAAGGGGTCCTTCATGAAAGGTCATCATTTCATTGGGCCTTTTTGCTTTTCCCTTGAAAGGGTGGCACCCCAAAGCATTAGCCACGTGGCTCAACTGTCAACCACGCGTCCCTTCTGGACTGACGAGCATATGCCCGACTCCTACGTGTCATCCCCAGACGCGCATGAGACTGATATCCACGCGAGGGAATGCTCGACATTAGAGTGCGTATATGGGCACATTCATTCGACCACCTCGGGGACGAAGTAATGCTCGACGGACCGACAACTCCCTTAAGACGGGCGTGTCAAAAGGAATCTCGCGGAGGCTCTCCATCACTAATACGGTCCCCTCGAGCAAGCGATTGACCCCGTCAGTCTCGCTGCCCACTCGTCCGTAATATCCCCTGATGCACCCGAGCTTGTTCCCCACGCGGGCAATAATTCGTTCCTTTCGGGGGACTTTGGCTGTCTACCTCGATCAAGTCTTCGGTATCGAGAGTTGAACTCAAGTCACCGCTCTTTTGCTCAAAGGAAATAACTTGGGGGGCTCCTGATCTGGATTGGGCCTACACTTATCCTTCGAACGGGAAACCCAAAAACAACCCAAGTTAGGGACCGTTGGGCAACTCCCCACCCGACCGTTGGAGGACGTGGTCCACGATCCCACGACAGCCATCTTAAACTGTCATCCGGAAATCACGGTCCAACCCTGTTCTCGCGGAGCAGTTGACTAGCGGGGAGTCCACTTGCTAGACTCCATACACACGTAAACCCTGACAGTTCCTGTTATTGGGCCTCAACGTGGCCCAATAGTGGAAACCTTGGCCCAGCGTTAGGGGTTATAAATATCCTCTCTCCTAAGAGGGTCGGGTATTTAATTCATCTCTCTGAACTCATACTTGCTTGCTCATTCCGCAACTTACTTTGCCATCAGAGTGTCTTGCAGGTACCCCTCCCCCCTATCTCATTCAACTTCTGCCCGAGTTAGCAGTGACAATCCATTTCTGATCTGATAAGATCAATAGTAAAATATTTAAGGCTATCTTTGAAAAGTGTCCGTAAGCATCATGATTTTGGATGAAATCGGGATAAATTTAGTGTGTTCTTTCTTTATCCCTTAACTTTAATTTTTGTGTATATTATTTTCTACTTTCTTCTTCTCCATCTAATCTCTTCTTAAAAACCTTTTAAAAAATTGTTTTATTTAATCGTTGTTTTGAAAACTTTTTATATCACAATTTATTCTCATTTTTATATTTGAATATTTAAAAAATAATCATCTATCTCAAAAGGTAAAATAATTTTAAATAATTTATTAAAAAGTTATTCTTACTATATAAAGAAAAAATTAATTTTTTAATTGAAGAGATGCACTATGATATTTAGAACGCTTTTAAAGATAATTTTTTATTCCCATACACCAAGTTAATGATGTGGCGGAAAACAACCCTATGAAGTTATAAATCAAACATGATAAAGAAAATGTGTACAATTTCAAAGTTAAAAACATCATTACTGCAACTTTAGGTATTGGTGATTTTTTTTCCGTATATCACATTGTATTGTTGTAACACTGCAAAAGAGATGTGAAACAAACTGCAAATTAACCATGACAGTATAATTGAGTAAATAGAGTTAGAATAAACACATTAATATATGAATATGAATTATTTAGAATAAAAGCCAGTGAAAATGTTTAAGATATTAAAAAACATTTCATTTATATTGTAAATCACTTAAAAACTCTAGATAAAACTTTTTAAAATAAGGATTTAATTAACAAAGTTTTTAGATGTTTAAACTAAAGCTAATAACCTAAAATTACTGGAATTTCTAAATTTTAAGATTTGTTTTCTATAAATTTGCCTATTAAGTTTACAAGAAGATGAAATTAAGCTAAACTGTCTTGCTAAAAGGAAATAAGGTGATAAGAAAAAGCAATTCGTACTAAAAACTAAAGATGTCGGGTCAAAGAAACATAAAGTAATAAAAACATAAATTTTATAGTCCACAAATTCAAAATATTCATGAGACAAAAAAATACAACTTGAAAATTTTAAAAGATGTAAGGAGAGAATGTATACCAAAGGAATGAACTATAAAGATAACCAAACGAGAGTAAGGAGAGAATGTATACCAAAGGAATGAAGTAAAGAGATAACGGCATCATATAAGTAAAATTTGTGGAGTGTGAAACTCTCAGCTTTTGCTTTTATTCTTGCATAGACTCTTGACATGCAGAAGTTACAATGAATTTGACTAATCCAAACTGAGTAAGATAAATCTATAAAAGAGGCAAAGCTCGACTCAAAATCTGTTTTTTATATTCAAGATACACGAACCAAGCCTTATTTAAGAGTAACCAAATGCTTAAACCAAACTCATCCTGGCTTGGACAGTTTGTCACAACAGTGTCAAAAAGGTGCATTGTAATAGCTTCCAGGTTGTCCAATCCCACCAACTTGTGGCATTCCATAACTCATCATAGGTTGTGAACCAGGAGCATGATAATGAGATGTTCCACCTCCAATACTTATTAAACCAACTTGACCTTGCATTCCATCTCTCCCATATTGTTGCCATATGTTTTGTTCTTGAACAAGCAGATGCTGTTTCCTCTCCATTTCTGCTATTTGCACATACGAAGGTGGCGGTACAGAGAGTGATGCTGCAAATGGATCCTGTGTTCCTACAGCTTGCATTGTTCCATCTGGAGCAGGCAAAGCAAGAATCGGTGCTGCATTCTTACCAGCTCCTGGCAATGCCACACTACTAAAACTTCCACCACTCATATCAGTTGAACTCACATGCTGTCTCACAGCACCTTGATCATACATTCCATTCAGTAAAAGTGAATCAAAACCACCTCCCAAATCAGACTTCTCTTTCAACAGATTGCTAGTAGTCTCTACCAATGCCAATTCCCAATCCACTTTCCCTATTTCAGCCCCTGGTTTCTGCCACGCTGGAGTCACTTCAGATGAACTAAATTCCTCCCACAGGCCATCTGTCTTAACTGCCGAAACTCCAGAGAACAAGGCCATTGCAAGTTTATTACCTTGCTCTTTGGCCAAAACATCATCATCATCTCTTAGATTCAATAAGTCACCTGTTTCTTGTAGAACGCGAGGTGCTTCTTTAGGCTCGGGAGCCAAAGGAGGCGATTGCGATTGAGGTGTTGAATTCGTTATCTCGGGAGCCAAAGGAGGCGATTGCGATTGAGGTGTTGAACTCTTTATCTCGGGTGCTGGAAGAGCCTTCACCTCATTAATACCTAACTCTTGCTCTTTAACCAAACCTATTACCTTAACCTTCATCTCAGGACTCTTTGTTCTACCACCCATTTCCTTCAAGAAACCATTGAGTGTCCCCAAGAGAGTATCAGTAATCTTCTGCACTTCAGGGTACTCAGAGGATCTCGCGATGCCCATATCCTTACACCAATCATAAAAAACTGCTAACTCATCCATCTTCTTGGAAGCTCTAACATAAAACTCAAAAGCTTTCACACATTGTTCATACTCCATTTCCATAAACCTATCCATCAACACCCCCAACACATCACAAATTTCCACATACAGCTTAAAACTATCCCTCACAATATGATGAATCGCAACCAACAATAACCTATTATTCTTGGCAGCCCCATTCGGTTTACAATCCAACACACAATTAAGAATCCGAAGCAAATGCTTCAACCTATCCAAAACCCTCTCGGCCTCCATTTCCCTCGCAGGCGTAACAACCTCACTCCTCTTCACAGAAGCAGATTCACAATCACCAGATTCAACAATATCACCTTTCAATCCCCTCTTATAAACCAAAAATCCAACCTTCTCATCAAGATACATTGCATAAACCCTAACAAAACAAGCATGATCCAACGAATTCGAATGCGCCTCATCTCTAAAATCACTCATACTAAAAACCCTCACCCCCCTAGCATGAACCTGAACAATCTCATCCTCAAACGTAGGATGCCGATCAGTCAAAAACCTATGAACAAGCATAAGCGATTTAACCGCGACAATCCAATCGCGCGTTTTCGAGAATCTCTTGGTGATCGATACTAAACAAGCATTAACATATCCTTTAGAATAAGAAGTGAAATTGAAAATTTCTCTTACGTACTTATCATCCGCAGGAATTTCGTCATGGCTCGTTGCTTTCACGACTAGAACCTCAATGTGTGGAGCTACATTTCCAGCTACTTTCGCTATGCTGATGCTTGTTTGATCCTTCATTGCACCAATTGCTTTACGAATTGTTCTCGATGTTGATGATGGCATGTCCAATTTCCAAGAATTTTACGATCAAAAATGCCAGAACGCGAATCGGAATCCAAAAAAATGGATGAAATCTATGAATGAATCAAGATCTGGAAGTGACAGTTTTGAGAAGAAGAAGAAGAACTGAACAAGTGTTATGTTATGTTATATTACTGCGTGCGTGCGTGTGTGTATTAAGGTGTTAAATAAATATTAACGTGGAAAGTTAAGAGATTATGAAAACGCGTAACCAACGTAAATCCAATTTAGAGATTTTTTAATATATTAGTACAATATTTTTATTGTCTAAATTTGGAATTGGAATGTGTCCATGTACATGTATGTATATATTATCTTGCCAAAATAAATCATATGAATTATTTTTCTTTTTTTAAGGATTTTTTTTTTTGGTTAGAATTTATGAGTTTTTTTAAAATATTAATTTTTTTCATGACTCATTCCCACCTAAGAATCCAATCTCATATTTTTTGAATTACGTTCTTATCGAAAACTCTTTTACTATTAGAGTCCAAAGTTCTTTCTTATTTCAAATATATTGAAAATTAAATTATTTGCTATTAGAGGTTTATTTTATGAGTAATTTTATATATTGTTAGTATAATTTTTTTTACACAATCAATCGATAAAAATCAATAATTTTGTATGTCATTAAAAAAATTTAAAATAAAAATGAGATATAATTTAATACATAGTTCTAATTGTTTGACAGTTTTACACTGTCAGTGCATTTGTTTTCTCTTTTTTTATTTGATAAATTTATTTATTTATTTCTTTTATTATTAATTAGTTAATTAGTTTATTATTCTTTAAATATATTTTTATTAATTAATTTTGTACGGTTAGTGTAAATTTTTTACATAACCAGTGTATCATAATCATTTAAAAAATTTATTTTATAAATAATTAAAATAAAAATTAAATATTATTAAAATTTTAACCGTCACGATTAATTAATAATGTAAAATTTATTTACATAGTCAATACATTCTAATTAAATTTTTTAACAAATAGTATATTTGCAAAATATAGCTTTACTAAAAAAAAGTGAATTTTTTTTAGCAATAACCAAGTATTGAAAAAAAAAACACACAAATAATTATGTTTTGGAGAAAATTACGCAAATAACCATGTTTCAGAATATCACACAATGGAGGCGCCAAGTGAGATGGCGCATGCACTTTAATTTTAGAAGGAGACGCCGAGTGAGATGGCGCCTAGATTCAAATTGTTTTCCCTAAGCCATCTCAGATGGCGCCTAAGTGCATTTAAGAGGCAATTTTTCTTTCTTTCTATTTTAAATACGAGACAATAAGTAAACGATATTGCTTCATGAAACTTCGACTTTTCATTAACAAACGAACGATTACATAATGAAAAAAATTATGCATATTATTTAGTTGTCCCCCGGAACACGGTAATGACTTGTGGTTCCGTATCCGCGTCCTCGCCTATCTCGTGGTGGGTTTCATCGATTTTCCTGTTGCGGTTGGATCGATGGTCTAGCGAAGTCAATACGTTCAGGATCCATGAAATCGGTCATATCACCATATTTGGAAGATCCACTTTGGTACAATTGGTTACCCATGCCCTCAATGTTTGATCGTCTTGGTGGGGGTGGGGTTCCATGGATGGTCTATAGCACTGGTCGTCTGAGTAAGGGGGGGGGGGGGGTAAAAAGGAAATAAATCTTAGGGTGTTTGGTATTATGACTGTTGGGTGCTATGATGGTGTGGTGGTTGATGGTAAGTTGGGTTGGTTGGATCATATTCTTCAGAAAAGCCTAGATTTGGGCTAAGGTGAGATGATGAGGGGCCCACATCAGGATGCATAGAAGACTGGAATTGTGTGTGGGACATGTGGGTGTATTGGTATTGTGATTGAGATTGGGGTTGGGTGTGGGGCATATGAGTGTATTGGTATTGAGGTGGTGATTGTGGTTGGGTGTTTGTAGATCTGTATCGTTGTGGTGTTTGGTGGAAAGTTGATGTGTGTCAGGTTTGTTGTTGGGGATTTGAGGTTTGTGCCCATTGTGTTTGTGGGTCAACCAAATATCTCGGGTGAGACACGTGCATTCCTGGGTTACTAACCGATCTGTACCAATCAAAATATTGATCCGTGTGTCACATATTATTCTGGTTAAGGAAAACAAAGAATTGCAAGACATGTTGGTGACGCATATGCCACATCTTACACCATTTTGGAGAAAAATATTTCCAATTAGTAAGACCCCATTGGGCGTCGAACCTTTTGAGATGCCAGGGTGACAAACAAGTTGGATCGCATGGTATCTCTTGATGCATTCCAAACTGCATCTTGACACGATCGCTATGATGTATCTCCACAATGTTGAACCGTGTGATTGTCGTCTTTGCAGTCTAAACTGTTGCATCCTTGAGGTTTGGTTCATGGTCCAAACCCAAATATTGTCTCCAGATAAAATGTGGATAAAACTAAATCAGTATAATGAAAACGTAAAAAATAAATAATTTAATAGTAGAAAAGTTCAAAGGTACCACGTACATCATCCGGACCAAGGTGATCCAATAGATTACGATATAGAACGACATTGAATCTTGGATTCTTGCCGTAATTCATACCTGTTACGCAGTACCTAAAGGAATTGAAAAATAGTTTATTTTATACATATATTTGGCGAAAAGATGAATAATAAATTATTTAAGTTCTTGACTTACTTTGTTGCGTATAGGAAAATAAATGCATTGTTGTTGACGGGGTTTAGGGACTCCATTCTCCACCAATCCTAGGCTTGGAGTAAGAAAACGCATCCATAAAAGGTACATTTGTCCTTTGTTACGTTTTTACACAAAGAACTGTATAGATGGGCTAAAACAGCAGAACTCCAACTATACTTTCTTGTTTTTTCAAAGTTCCTTAGCAAACTTAAATACATAAAAACTATTCCCTGTACTTTCGGGAAATAACAAGCTTCTAAATAGTATCATCATATAATTTCTAGCCTTTATTATTCTTACTAGCTCGTATGAATTTTCATTCAACTCAAGATTCGCATAATATTTTTTTAGTTCGGTTAGTAATATACCTTGGGCTCTAGCACCACTACCTTCTACCATATCTTTTCCCAACAATTCCTCGCATAGAGAATTGTGTTGTTGAACCGACCCATTAACTACCTTACCATCGATAGGGAGACCCAATAACATATACACCTCCTCTAGTGTGACGGTACATTCACCTATTGGTAGATGAAATATGTGTGTCTCGAGTCTCCACCTTTCTAACATTCCAAGTATAAACTTGGAATCAATCGTGCAGTTTGAGATTTTTATAACATTTTCAAAACCCGCATATTTAAGATAGGGCACGATCAACATATCGGGAGTAATGTAGTTGTGTAAGCGAACTCTAAATCTTTTAGTATCCTAAATTCAAAATATAAAAAGTGTAAGAGTCCATAAGATGACTAATTGAATAATAATTTTATAAAAAATATATTAATATACAAGAATATTGAAGAATTTATAGAAACTTACAAACGCCGCAATGTTGTCTCTTGTGCCTCTGAGAATCGCCCATTGTGAGAAGAGCCATATTTGAAATGGTATAAGATAATGAAAGAGTTTGTATCAGAGAGTGAGATGATTAGTGATGCAAAACAAGTATCTCAGGCGCCATATTTATATGCGAAATCGTATAAGAGTGAATTAATAAGGTAGTTGGTGGTTACATGTATGCATGATACGTGCCACTCATGTGCCAAGTCAAATGGAGCCTACAAGCAATTTAGAGAGCATGCGACATTTAACTTGGCGTGGTACAATCCTACATGTAGAGTAGGTGGCAGCATAGGGCCAGACTTTTGCGCATGCATGTAAGGTGATAGGACATGTAGGGATGCGCCATTTGACTTGGCGCATGAGTGCAAATTTGAAAGGTGTCGTCATCTAAATTGGCGAATTAGTGGTGGAGCATTTTTGTCTTGTTCAAGTTTAATGAGACATATTTATCCTACATGCATCTAATGTTATCAACACTCAAACATTCAAACATTCAAACACTCAAACACTCAAACCTTCAAACATTCAAACATTCAAACATTCAAACATTCAAACACCATGTCCTCTACACCATAATACGTTATCAGCGCATATTTCAACGGTGAGACGCACATTTGTCCCACCTCTAAGTTTTTATTTAGAGACACTGAGAACATCTGATTTTGTTTGAACATGAAAGCCAATTTCTTGTATTTCAAAAAACGATTAGATGTCAAACTTGGACGAGATCCAGTGACACACATCTTCTACCAAAATCTGGTTTTTTTGGTGAGAACCAAATAGTATTTTAGAAGGTAGAGGTTCAAGATGTTAAGGACATTCAAAATATGTTTTCCAGTCATAAGTATTTTGGGTACGACTCGATTGAGTTATACATTATGATGCCGAAGCCTCAGCTGTCACGACCAGCTCAGTCACAAGTGGTTGATCCTCTCGAAGACGAACAAGCAGAAGTAGATGTCGTTGACAAAGAAGAGGAAGATGAAGAGTTAGATTTTGACGACATGGTCAACGATGATTCTGAAGATGATAGGCTACCTGAAGTACCTCTGAATGAGATCTACACACCACTTTCACACATGACAAACTTCAATATGGGCGGAGATGAACCGTCATCTGATGTTTTTTTCAACCCGTATATGGAGTCTAATGAAAATTTAAAAGATAAAGAAAACTTTTGTAATAGATAAGATTGTATATGAGCTATAAATAAGTTTCACATGCTAAACTCTGTCGATTTTAAGGTAGATCGGGTAAATCCAGAAAGGTACAAGATCAGGTGTGTTCAACCAGATTGTATGTTCAGGCTCAATGTATCATACATGTTGAGAGGTGATTGTTGGGTGATAGCTTCTATGTCCACCCACATGTGTGTCAATTCTACTCAATCACAAGATCATCGTAAACTAAATCATGATCTAATATGTCAAGAAATCCTACCTCTCGTCAACAATTATCCGTCAT